GTTGAGATCTGAGCTTGCCAAGGTAACGGGGTGCTCGCGTTTGTCAGCCGCAGTTTTGTCCTGCCAGGAAGGAGCAAACACAAATCCGTGTGCCACAGGAGCAGGACTCGGGGGCGGGGGGTGGGTTGAGATCTGAGCTTGCCAAGGTAACGGGGTGCTCGCGTTTGTCAGCCGCAGTTTTGTCCTGCCAGGAAGGAGCAAACACAAATCCGTGTGCCACAGGAGCAGGACTCGGGGGCGGGGGGTGGGGGGGGGTGAGTTTTGCGGTGGTGTTACCTTTGGACTTCTCAGCTAATTGTTAAAGTGCATAAAGCTGGCAGATACTTCAAACACCGTGGTATGTTGCATGCTCTTTCCCAGAACGACTGAATTTAGAGCTCTAAGGAAATAAGTGGCTTTTGATGCCGTGAGCTTAATCTAGGCTTTTAGCTCCATTTGAAGTAAGAAAACACTTTAGGCAAGTGGTATGCAAAAGAAACTCGATTTTCCTTGGGAAGCTGCAACAATGGAGCACTTAACGTGCTTTCTTTTTCTACCTTTTTGTCTTAAACATTTATTACCTTTTGTAGGTGGCTGGTCTTGGTGCCTATATGCTTTTGAAGAGCTGAGAGTTTGTAATGTAATATCCTAAATTGTGGGCACCTTTTGGGATTTAAAGTCAGTTTATAATTGCTATTTGAAATGTAGCTGAAGATAATTGCAGCTGTCCTTCTGTAGTCCGTCCTTTCTTTTGAGAATCTCATGGTGGTTCTTTGACTTGCAAGTTTTGGCGAGGGAGGACTTTGCTGCTCTGGGTGGTCACGCAGATCTTGGTGAACTGCAGTTAAAGTAGAAATGAACCCTCTCTGCCTGGAAATAACTCCAGAGCACTTTGAAAATGTTGTAAGAAAGATCTTTGAGGAAAAGCTCTTTGCTTTAATGACATCAGAGAAAAAGAATCATAAGATAGAAACCTTAGTTAATTAAGGTTTGGCAGCTGATTTTTATCTGTGGTTGAAGTTACAGCGCTAAGAATGATTTTTGTTAATCTTGGTGCCATTAAGTCGCCAGTACAATGACTTGTATGGATGTTTTCCCAGTTGAAATCTGGTCTGCGGGCTTCCCATTCCAGCACCTTTCATGTTCAGTTGAATTGTTCTGCGTGTATCTGACATCCCTACCAATTCTTTAAAGTCATATTAACGAAGTCTTACTAGCTTTGTGGGAGGTAGGAAGTTGGCTTGGCTTATTTTTCAGAATTTTACTGAACTGTGACTTAAGACAAACCTCTACCTCTCTCTAAGGTTGAAGAAGAAATTGGTACTCTCAGGCAAGTTCTGGCCGCTAAAGAGAGGCACTGTGGAGAGTTGAAGAGGAAGCTAGGTTTGACTCCCTTGGATGGGTTAAAGCAAAACCTGTCTAAAAGCTGGCATGATGTCCAAGTCTCCAATGCGTAAGTGTTGCTTGTGATGCACCTTTATTTAAATATGACTCTGTAGTAATTATCACCCAGCAGCATATTCCAGGGCTCTTCCAAGTGGCTGGAGGCTTTTGCTCTGGTGGGTATTTAGAATAAAAGGCACTTAAGAGCAATGAATTTTTTTTTTTTAATACGTCAATGTCTTTATGTTGGCATAAATAGAACTTTCACAATTGTGATCAGGATAAATTGTTGCTGGATGATCTTTCCAATGATGTTAGAGATCTAGATCACCACTCAACAGTCTAGTTTGCCAATTTCTGCCCATCCTTTGTGAAGGAGCTCCTGCTGCCTTGTTCTGAACTCAGACTCAGAGAAGTGCAAGAAGTTTCAAAGTTCTGCTGCATAGTGCTAGTTCAGAAGCTATTTCCTGAGTCATATAGCTTGGCTTAAAAAGTCTGCACTTCCTAGGAAAAAATTCTGTAATATTAGTGTCCATTACACATAGGCATCTCTGCCTAAAGAAGATCTGAGATTAGACTGGCTGTTCCTGAACAGGCATTAAGGGTATTGTCACTGCAGTGCTTGACAGTACCAGAAGGAGAGTCAAAGAGGTAAGTTTGGCCCTGCAGTTCTTCCTGGATGTGAAGGGCTCTCAGTAGCCATAGAGGTATCGTTCAGTCTAAAACATCTCGTGTAACTTAGCTGGAATTTGGACTTGGCTGGCAATGCTACTGCAGAGCAGATTGTTGAGCTGTTCATCTCACTGTTTATTCTTTCCCTTTTCCTCATCTTCCCTCCTACATCCCTGCCCAATTTCTGTTATTCCTTTGTAACTGAAATCTGTGTCATTGTCTTCTCAAAAATGAATATTAAAGTTATATTCATTAACACTTTCTGTTTCTAGTTATGTGAAAACATCTGAGAAACTTGGAGAGTGGAATGACAAAGTGACACAGTCTGACTTGTGAGTGCCTGGGGCTCCTCAGCAACACCTCCTTGCTCCCTGCTGCGTTCCCCGATTTGTGCTGCTACTTGTTCTCACAGGTGTCAGGGGTTGACTGTGAGCTGGAGGCAGTGGTGAAGCAGGGCTGTTATTAGCAGCATGCCTGGCTTCCAGCTATAAGCATCCCTCAGTTGCAGAGGAGATGAGTAAACGTTACTGCTGTCATCTCTTTCATGGTCTCGCTGTTGCAGAAGAAAAATTCCAATCAGTTACCAGACCACATTTTATTAAAAAAAAGGCAAAAAAATCAACCATGGGTTCCCTTTAGCTGGTCAGTGGTAGGTTAGTTTGTTGTAGTAAGATGTCTTATTAGTGAACCTCTATCTTTACTGTGAAACTATTTCTCTTCTCATCATCGCATGTGGTAGGAATCAGTTTGATTATTTGATATCTCTTTCTGTACGGCCACAGGGGAGAGAAGGTGCCTGAAGGCATTTACCTGTGGCTGGAAATACGGGCTGTGCAAATACAAATATATGTGTGTGTGTGTGTGTATATATATATTTATGTATGTATATAGCCATGCAGTGGCTCTTCTGCATTGATGTATGTCAACCTTTTTGATGATGTCAACGCTAGAAAGCCATGAATTTTAGTCTTTGCAGTGTATATGAGCAGATGACTGATGCGGACAAGGAACATCTGGCTACATTCGGCTCTGGAATATATTCTTTAATTATATTAGACCTCCATTCATATTAGACATGAATCCTTTCGATTCCTGATGCATAGCTGAACGTCAGGGAGACCTTGAATGTTTTCTGCACTGAAGATTCTCTCCCTTCCATGTCTTGTGCTGAAGGAGATGATTATTTAGCTAAGAGGAAATTGGGCATTGGGAGCATCCCATCATTAGGCAGGGTTGCACTGATCTAGTTGGGGAGAGTTACGCTTCTGGGTGATGTGAACTGCCTGCGATATGTCACCTCCTCTGAGCCCTTCTGCGTGTTGTCTGAGCTGGTAGCAGATGCTTTCTGTAGTACTTGTATGTGTTCTGTACTTCCAGTGTTATTTCTCACAACCCCTAAGATACTGGTTTTTATGTAGGCAAACGTGATTTATAAAGATTAGAAAATGAAACTAAGTTTAACAGTTTGTACAGGTCATGCTATATTGGTAAAACATAGCTTTGGGTGTGGTAGTCAGATTCTTTTTTTTTTTTTGGCTTTGAGCTCTGTTCACTGCTCTGTGCTTTTAGTATATAGCCGCCACACAGTGTATAGAAAGGGAGCAGAGGATGCAAAGTCTTTCAATTCCTGACACCTTCTAAACTGCAGGCTTTGTCTCCTGTGCTCTGTGCTTGAACATGCTTAAATAAGAAAGAAACTGGGGCTTAGGTGTCTTTCTGCCTCTCAAACAGCAGCTCTTTTCCTTCTGACAGAAATAAAACCTATGATACTGTAAGTGTAAAGAGACGCTAATAATGTGGAAAGTGTCAAAAGAAGCATCTGTTGTGAATCTTGGCACTGTATCTAACCTCCATTGTGTTTGTAGATATCTTTCAGCCAGCAGCACACTGGAGGACTGGAATGAAAAATTAACTCAATCAGAAGCGTGAGTGTCTTAACCTTCAGTGTTAACAAATGCTTTCATGACAGTCTGCTGCCACTAACGTTCTGTGCCCCTTTTCACAGTCCTCTGCTTTGACTAGATCTATTTAAACACTTCTCTTTTTGTAGCTTTCACTTTTTTAACATGATAAATGCCTCTTCTGGGAGAGGGACCTTTTCCTCAGGTCAGTATTTGAATGATTTCATTGTGATCCGAGTGATACTCTTCAAACGCTTGCCTGCTCTCAGAGGAGAACTGGCTGAAGCCACTGGGTACCTGAGACCTGTGTGCCACAAGTTACCACTTCAGCTGACAAGCTGTGGAATAGCCAGACTGACCTCTTCTTGTTACCCTCAACATGCTCTGCAGGGAGCAGGAGCTCTTCTTTTTGCCTTGGTACCTGGTGAGAGCAAGTGCAGCTGTAGTGACCAAGGCAGCTGCTCTGTCATGTTGGGGCCCCAGATGGACTTGAACAGCTTAAACCTCACAGCTGTTACACTCCACTGGTTGGCTGCAAAGGTCTCTTAGCCATGTTTTTATTAAATGCCTGGAATTAAATTTTCATCTGGACTAAATTGTGGAGGCATATTATGGAAGTTGGACTTTGTCCTTCTCACTGCATCTTTCCCGCAGTATATAGGGGAGTCCTTTACAGCGATGCAGTGTGAGCAGGTAGGTAGTGTCATTGTTTGCTGAACTGCTGTAAACCATGGTAAGGTAGGTCTTAGATAAGCCAGCTTTTCCTGTTTTCTGGAGTGGGTATGAAATTCAGTCCTTTGAACTGGCTTGTTTATTGGCAGAGTGTGTGAATAGAAGGTTTTCTTCATAAGACGGGCAAAAGATGAGCAGAGATAAAAAGTAGGAGTATCAGAAAAAACTTTAAAGTATGCAGATTCTACTTTCAGTGTTCCGTGTATGTTTACAAGAAGATGTAAATTGTCACTATTTCACTTGCTAAATAGAATGACCTTGGTTTTTATGCTTGCTGACAGTGTGACTGGCTCCAGTGGTGTTTAATCAGAGTTCTTCCCTCGGTGTCCCTGCTAGAATAGAAAACTTCTTGTTATATTTGTTTCCTTGTACTTAGTAAGTGCCAGAAATGTGGCGGAAGCGTGCTTTTGTAGAGCACTTAAGACCTGAATAGCTGTGGCACACTAGTTTTCCTGCTTGTTTTGGCACAAGATAGAGTGGCAATTCATGCTACCGAGGTAGATGCTGATTAAAATGGAGAGGCAAGGGGGCTTGAAAAGCAAGATTCCAGCAACATTTCAGAAAACAAATAGAATGTCTAAGGCTCGGTAAATGTGAAGAGTCAAGTTCAAGAAATCCAAGGGATGAGATTTTACTCGTATGTTTTGTTGGTTTTTTATTGCAAATGCATTCTGTTTCCTGTTGTTTAAGTTTCTCTGCATTATAACTAACAAGCATCCTGACTGAGCTGGGAATAGGCCTAACTTGTAAGCTTATGGTGCTTTTGTGCACTGCTGAATTTCCTGGTAGCTGCTGTTCCCAGCCACAGAGCTTGACCTGCCCTCTGCAAGCTGTGCAGAGACAGCACAGAAATCAGCCCAGTCTGTCCCTAGCTCCAATTTCCTTGTAACCAGGACGTGACACGTGTTAGATGGCTTGTGCACTTAGCCAGAGAGCACAAATAGCGATTGCTGGATAAGAGTAAGTGAGAAGAAGCTGGTATTAGTGGATAAACGAGGATTTGAGGGTGTGGGTCTGGCTCCTCCCCGTCAGGGTATATAGGAGAGGGATGCAGTGAAATGGTTGAACATCACAGGATGAACACCACAGGGCAAAGATCATTTCTGCAGCTTCTGCTGCAGCCAATTGCCTGTTAGTGGAGCAAGGTATTAATTGGAGCTCATATTCATTAGTCCCAGATTTAGATTATTCTATTCTGCTTTGTACAGGTGCTAAGGGAAGAAAGAAGAGAGTGAGTGACTGTGAATTTAAAGCCAGGGTAGACCTGGCCATGTCTCTTGCAGGAGAGTAGTTGTGATTTCTAGGTCAGTGCTGGGTGTAGTTAAGTTGCATTAAAGTCTTGTATAACCTGATCCCTGGTTGTCACAGATGCAGTTCCACATGTGTGTCTGATGGCAGTTCTGGGTTAAAGAGCTTCTCATCTCAGCTGCACTTCCCTGGTTCTGCCTCCTGCGTTGCAGCAGTGGAGGTGTGTACGTGTGTGGGGGAGCTGTGGATGCAGGACTAGACCGGCGATCTGATCTGTCTTTTTTTCTTCCAAGTTTATATTTCAGCCGAGTCGTTTCCTTGATCTAGATCGTGGTGTCAGCACAAACAGTCGAGCATACTCAGGCAGAAGGAGCAGCACCTGAGTGCTAGATCTTCAGTTGTCTTAAGAATACTGCTGTCAAGTGTGGAAAATACAGTTGGGAAATCTCTGGCCTGTATCTGCTGAAGTTAGATGTAATACCTGTGAGTTTGCAGTGTGTGCATGGTGTGATGGTGTCTTTTGAGTCTGTAAACCATTCTTCTCATTGCTGATCTGAGTGAGCTGGGTGCCAAGCAGATGTAGAGTCAGCTTCGGTGAGCACGAGGTCTTCGGTGTTTCTGTTAAGCAGCTGTAAATCAAATCCCACGATAGGATTCAGCCAGCCAGGGAGGAACCTGACTGCTGAAGGCAAGGATTGAGGTCCTCCTCTTCCAAAGCAAGTTTGGCCCTAGGGTTCAAACATCATTATTGCCATAGGAAGGCACATGTAAGAGCAAGCCCCTTTGATGATGACCAATTCACTCCTCAGTTGTCCTGAGGTGACTATTTCTTGCAAAGGGTTGTGCTGTGGGGAAACAGTATCGAGGCCTTGCTGTTAGGGCATACTCGGGTTCTTCTGGAGTTGCTGAATTCAAGAGGAGTTGGTCTGAAAAATGTGTGGTTTATAGGAATTTTCTTTCAGGAACAGGAAGAGAGAAGGTAAAGCTGATGTGGTTTGGCCCTGTTCTGCATGACTCGTGTACATTCTTGATTCACAAATACTTGACTGTGGTCTTACACAAAAAAACCAACCAACAAACCAACGTGTTGTAATTCAGGTGCTGTGGTGCTGTCTCCCGCACCTCTTTCTGAAGAGAATGAGCTGTAAGTCAGTCAGCTGTCACTGTGGTGCTTCTAGCCTTGGGAGCTCAGGCATGAACGAACACGCTAGACTGTTTATAATGCACTTCTCCTAAATATCCTAGTCAGGCAAAAAAGTAATCTCAAGTTTAAATGTTTGGAATAAGAAAGCTTGGCTTAAATGGTTGAACTTGTTTTCCAGCCCAAGTCTTTTTTTTTTTTTTTTTAAATAATTTGAAGAATGCCATAAATCTAGATGTTAATCACCAACTGTGGAATAGCTTAGAGGGGAAGAGTTAATGAACATGGCTCAAAGAATTTTTGTTCCCGAGATTAGTCCCATCTGAAGGGAACAAAGGTTCTCTAATGTCTGTCTTCTCCCAGCTCTGGTATAAACTCAAATGTAATCAGCTGACAAATAGAAGCTGTCAGACTTTTTATGTATTGTGGTTAATGGTAACTGATAGGAAACTTCTCTACCAATTTATTTCTAAACTGCAGTTGTAGGGATAATGCCGATTCCTGCATTTCTTTGCTATACAGTGATGCTAGCCTTGCCTCTTTCCTCCCTAACCTAACACTACAACAAACGCTGCAACTGCTTCAGGGCTGCAAGGATATTACAGAATAGGCTCCTAGACTTGTTTTCTCAAGAGACCAAAAGATAGTTGTAGAGCAAATAGGATATGGTGCTGTGGTGTTAGAGCTTCCACCTGGAAAATGGGGAGGTTTGGGTTTTTTTGTCTTTTTGCAAATGTTTGTCAGATTTAAGAACATATGGTCAAAATGGTAAAGTGAGTGTATGGAAAGGTTAATGCTACACCTGCTGCCTTTTTAAAACTTCAAGTCTTTGAATATATGCAAGACTGGAAGGGGCTTTTTCAGTGAAGTCAGTGCAGCTCACTAACCTAGCTTCTTTCCTTCAATATGGGTTCCTTTTTCAAAATGGGGAGGAATGCTTCTTGCTTTCAGATCCTACCTGTTATTTCAATTTACGATGTTTTTTTTCTATTTAGTTATAAGAAGACCCAGGAAACCCTTTCCCAGGCAGGACAGAAGACTTCAGCAGCCCTTTCCAATGTAGGTTCTGTTATC